GAGGGGGCGAGGGGGTGCACGACTGACTGCAGTGACTTGACACCTGACCCGGCCCGCCCCGCCACGCACCAGCTGCCATCTGTTACTCTACACCCGCCGACTAGTCGCGACCACAATACTACTACTTCCGACATTAAGCCACCTCGCTAGCGCTATACGCGGCGCACGCCATTCGCTCGTTTACCTCTGTATACCTTTTTGACATGTGTCTGTTTCTTCCGCCTTTTTTTTTCAGAATGCAGGTCTTAGCTGTCGTGATCGGCGCGGTGGCGATGCTCGCCCTCCTGCCAACGGGTAAGCTTATATTTCATAGACTCTATTTACCATGAGCGTTAAATCCAAATACCGGTTTCGCGGGCGCGAAATCCGCACTTTCCGGATTCCGAGAAGCATGCGTTGTTGTGCGATGTCTCCCCCCCACCCTTTCCCCTTCTGGCTCCGCCCCTCCTACACGTGCTTTTCGCTCGCAATCTTTGGGTGCGCACGGCTCCCGGTGTACAAGTCCCATATATCAAAGTACGCCGCCGCTCCGCTTGCCTCCTTCATCGTGAAAACGCCATAAAGCATAACGTTTTCGCTCAGCTGCACGCCGCTGTGCGTATCGCCGGAGCGCCGCCGCCGCCGCTCCCGCATCCCGCGGCCCGCTATCTGATAAGACCCGCCCGGGGACATCCCCTTCTCCTCCCTTCACCCCCCCCCTACCCCCTTCCCTTTTGTACACAAGAATCTCGTCGGCAAATTAGTTTTTCCGCTCGGCTGTACCAAAGCTTGTTGACGAAAGGCGACATCCCCGTTATATGTAGTTCGCTGCATATTCAAATGGGTCTTGCTCGGTATTATTTCGTAAAGTAATTCTCAGCACCAAACCTTTTGCGACCGTTGTACGCCCGCAGCTGCCATTGCGGTCGACAGCGGCCCGCGACCCATCGAGAGAGGTTGCGGGCGACGGGGGGTTGGGGGGGGGGTCACTTTAACGTTAGCACTGCTATAAATTTGGACGAAATGACTCATTCGGAGGGTCGTATTTATTCATATGCCTTTCTTCGGGCGAGGGGTGGGCGCTGGGCGCGGGGGCGTGGCCGCGAAAGGTATAGGCGCACTGGGCGTGGCGGAGCGGGTGGAGGGTCGGGGGAGAGAGGAGAGGGGTCTACGTTTTAATTTCATGAGAGCGGTGCGCACAGGAGAGGCGGCGGGGAGCGCGCAGGGAGCGGGGGCCGGGGGGCGCCCCGACCACTTTGATCAGCACACGTATCTCTCCTTCCGCAGGCGGTGCCATCACCTGCTACCAGTGCAAATCCTGGGAGGACCCCAGCTGCTGGGACATCAAGCAGAACCAGACCGACAACAAGTACGCCAAGTTCTGCGACACCGACGACATGCCCAACGGCGCGCAGCCCTTCTGCAGGACGATCCGCCAAAAGAGTAAGAAGAGTAAGCCGAGGGCCGGCGACTTGTGAGGTGTTGTATAGCGCGCAAAACCTTTGGGTTGCTGTGACTAACATGTTTGGGGTTGTTTGCAGTCAGGGACGGCAACGGCACGGAGCGAATGTGGCGCAAGTGTGGCTGGGAGGAGTACAAGAACAAGAATGGGTAAGTGTGGCTGCGAGTGGACCCAGGCCCGAGGAGTACTTCACTATAAATTCTGGCGTACACGGACTTTTCAGATTTTTCCTGATTTTTTCTGACTTAAATGAGGTATTTTAGCGGTTAGAAGAAATGAAGAATCCCCAAGATGGCCGCCACGGACCACAACAAACCAGCAGACGACGTTTCTTAAATTCGCTCGCTGTAAGGTCCCAAGGGGTTTAAATTTTTTGCACTGACTCTGGATAGACTCAGAGCCGACTCAGATTTTACATTCAGACAAATTTAAGGGCTAAATCGAAACTTTAGTTTTAAAACAATTGCCGGTTTGTTGTGGTCCGTGGCGGCCATCTTGGGGATTCTTCATTTCTTCTAACCGCTAAAATACCTCATTTGATTTTTCCTTTCTTTTCCCTGAGTTTTTTTTCTCTGATTTTTCGGCAGGGTTGTACACTTTACTTATTATTTTTAAGAAAGCACCCCTTAAGTAGGTCACTGCCACACGCGGGGCATGTGGGACATCGGAGCGAAATGTCGAAATGTCGAAACGTCGAATGGGCTAAATGGGGCATATCGTCCCGTTATCGCTTCGACTTGTAGCTAGACACACATCCACACCTCTACTAATCCAACCCCTGTCTTTCGCAGCGAGCGCAACCCCAAGCCCTGCTACTACTTCAGCGACGGCCACCACGAGGAGTCCGTCTGCCAGTGCTTCTTCGACTACTGCAACGCGGCCACCGCACGGACAGCGTCTCCCATCGCCGTCCTCGCCGCCGTGGCAGCGGCCTCCTTCGCCGCGCTCAGGATCGCGTCGTGATAGCCGCCGGTCACCGTCTGTGTTCGGAAGCCCCATATAAGACGTTCTCCGCGCACCTCTCGCCCCCTCCGCGAGTTGGTGCAGCGACAGTATCAAAGACTCCCTTGCGTGTTTCTCCCGACAGTGTGTAGATGAGCCGCGTCCTGGTTTGGGCGAGCCCGCACCCGCACGGGTGCGAGAGAGACTACTCGCGACTGTGATAAGGAACGTGACGGCATTAGAGATGGGGGACTTTTTGGCAGGTCGAGCCGCGGTTATCGTGGCCTCGGCGGAGACGTCCGCGCTCGTCGTCCTCCTCCTCCTCCGCCGCCGCACCGCTCGCCTCGGGCGCCTCGAACGCAGCCCTCGCGGGCGCCTCTCCCGGGCCAACCCATCGAGGAGGAGACGAAAGCCGCGGTAAAGGCAAAACTTATCGCGTCCATTGTCACGTCGGCCAGACCAGCGCAGCGACGGCGGCGGATGGTTGGCAACATCGCCTCGGCCGAGTGTGTCGACCGCGCCTCGCGGAGTGGACGGCAGGAGCGCCAGGAAGAGCGATGCAGGCGTGTTGCAGGCGTGTTTGTTATGCATCTCCATCGGTGGGAGATTCCCACTGTACACTCCACTTAATGCGCGCTCAAGCCAACTCCAGCTCCAGTCTGTGGCCGACTCTAACACACGAATAGTACACACCGACACAGACGTGACAAACTGCAAATCATCTCGCACAAAAAAAAGACCTGTTAATTCTCATCACTCTGTGGCTACACATTCATGCCCCAGGAGCTGTGTGCAACGTTGAAAGCACTTTTGGGAGCAGAATGTGTTTGTCCTTGATCATTACGGTTCTGCTTTTGTCATTGTGGTGTGACATAATACTTTTTATACGGTCGGCCTTGAGGCACTCACCGCTCAAGCTCATGTTCATATCTAGTCCAAGGACGCATTTACCTGCTCTTGTATTGTTAATAAAAATAAAGCATTGGGTTCACTGCGTCCTTATGTTCCAGTTATTTTTAGGTTTCAGTTTATAAAGCTTGTTTCGCAACGCTCCTTAGTATTTTGTAAAAATCTAAAATAGATGTTTTTCATTAAAAAAAATATTGTAAAATCACATGTCATTAAAAGATTATTTTATTTCTACCCTTTTCATTTTTCTTGTAGGTCTTTATCACACTGTGTGTTGTGTAGATATGGTAAATTCACACAAAACGACCTCAAAAATACTGATATGATTCACAATAGACACATTTTTTTGTATAAATAGTTACATGAAGAAAATAACTTATCAGGTGGGTGACAATGTATGACGATGAAGGTGGCTAGTCATGACGCGTTCATGCTACAGCATGAGAAGTATACTTCTCCGAACCACGATGAAAGGGATGAAGGGATGGTGATCGAGTGGTCGAAGCGAGTATCTACGCGAAGAAACTGGGTGGGCCGTACCTCTCGGCGGGGCGGTAGAAGCGCGTAGCCGCCGCCGGCGCCATCGCGGGAAGTGGCAGAGGCGCGGGGGCGGGCGCGAGGGGGGGCAGGGCGGCGGGGGCGGTCACGCGCACAGCCACGGGGGCGGGAGCGGGCAGAGATGCTGTGGAAAACACGGCAACCGGTGTGGCCGCAGGGGCGAACGCGGCCGCGGGGGCGAACGCGGCCGCGGGGGCGAACGCAGCCGCGGGGGCGAACGCAGCCGCGGGGACGGGGCTGGCCTCGACGATGGCGCGCGCTGGCCCGGGGTGGAAGTCGGAGTGCGGCAGCGCGGGCGGGAACAGGAACTGGGGGCTGAGGGGGCGCAGCGGGATGGCGCGGGTGCCCGTCAGCTCGGAGAGTGAGGCCGTGGGCGAGGCCGGGGGTGGTGCTGCCGCCTGGGCACCGAAGGACGTCGCTGGTGGGGCGGCTGACTCGAAGGCGAGAGCCTGGCCCGCTGAGGTGAGGGCGGCCTCGGGGGTGACCTCTGGGATGGCAGCGGGGGCGGCAGCGGGGGCGTCAACTGGGGCAGCACGTGTCAGCTCGGGGGCGGTGCCCGCGGACCCCTCGACGCCCGTCGTGATGGTGGAGCTGTCGTCGGCCGCCACGCTGAAGAAGCCGCCCGGGCCGGTGGGGACGATGAAGGGCTTGGGCGGCGGCTCGGGCTTGGACTTCTTGGCCGGGATGGGGCCCTTGTGGAAGTAGTTCTGCGGAGTGTTGCCGGGCTCCACCGTGGACGGAGCGCCGTCCTGGACGAGATGGGGATGGGGGTTATTCGCATGGTGTGGTGAGTGAGGTGTGGTGAGGGGTGGTGAGGCAGGTGTGGAGCGTGTGCTCCACGGTGTTCACGTGTGATTAAAATTACCACATGAAAATAAAACATATTCAACGAGGAGGGTGCGAACACCCTACCAGTGTTGGTCCACCGAATCACGCCGTGTTGTCAGTTTTTTGCGTGTAAAAGATAAGGCTTTGTTTAAAATTTGCATGTCTTTTTCATATCAGATTTGTACACGAACACAAGTTTCAGGCCTTTTTTTTTCACTGAGAAGGTCGAGAATAATAGAAAGAGTTAAATAAAAACAAAAACTTTATTTATACAGTTTTGTACTCTGACATTTATAAATATTTAAAATTCCCGACGTGGTAACAGATTGATAAGCCGCTGCGATCACGAGCCCTGCGAACGAAGATAACAAAATAATTCGAATGAGAGGATGTTAAGTTTTAGTTTTAGTGACTCTAGAAGGCTCTTTATTATTTCCACGACTTCATTATCTAGTTTGCAAGGAAAACAGACTGGACTAAATCTTGTGTTCGTGTTTTGCCATAGAACCCTACAAAATCGAGTACGAATTCGTGTAGCATGGAAGCGAATATTAGAAAGAAGTAAGAATGATCTTACCTGTCGGAAGGTGATCTTCTTGCCGTCGTAGTTGGGCAGCAGCTGCTCTGCCGTGCCAGGAGCGGAATCTGCGACGGGCTTCTTGGCGGCAGCGGTCTTCTTGGCGGCGGCGGGCTTCTTGGCAGGGGCGGCCTTAGGTTTAGCGGCCTCCTTGGCTGCGACGGGCTTCTTGGCGATCAGGTCGGTGCTGGCGAGGAAGGGGACGGACTTGAGGGACTGGAACTCGTCGTAGATCTTCTTCTGTGCGTCGTACTCAGCCTTCTTGCGCTGGTATTCGTTGAAGTCGGTGATGACGGCCTGAGAGGCCACCATGGCCACCATCACGAGCACCAAAAACTGTAACCAGAGATAGACGTCAGATACGCCAGGGAGGAAGGCAACCCAATGGCCACTGCTGTCGGACCGGACCGCAGCCTGGCTCGCAGGCAACCCAACGTACTCAGCCCCCGGCCGGCGCAGCCCCTGCCAGTCACCCCCGCGCCGCGCCGCTCCCCAAGAGTGTCGGCCGCGCCGCTTTCCCTGCCGGACACCCTCTGAGCGCTCAGACGTACTGGCGCTCAACTTTCACCTTGTCTGGCTGGCGAACGGTGCCCTGCTCAGTCCCAGGTCGGCCCCGCAGCCTCGAGCCCCGCTCGCGCCCAGGCGACGCTGAGTCGGAAGCGAAAACTCACCCCGACACACCCCGAAATACCGAACGCGTCCGCCGAATACTCACAGTAGTTGTCTGAGTCCTCATGGCTGCTGGGGTGCGGTGGACCGTGGTCGGGCAGACACTGGCGCGGGTTGGCGACGTGCCCCGGCTAAGTACTCTCGGTGCGCCCTCCCCCTACCCGGGCAGCACCACAGCACCAAGGTGACCAACATCCCGCCCTCCGCAGGGCATCTCTCTCGCCCGCCCGGCGACGGGGGATGCGAGATCCGAGGGAATGGGAAAAATAATTTAAATAAAACAAACACACAGGGAAAGCCTCAGAGACTTGGTTTTTCGGAGGTGACTTGTACTCACTGGAGTCGGAGTTTGAAACATGGAGTGTAATGGGATAGCTGCAGTAGGAAACAAGTACAAGTATTGAGATCATGTACCTTATTACCTCCGTACCCTGCCTCCTTCCTGTACTTGAAAACATTCTTTTATTTATTTTTTTAGGTGTAGGTAGGAGTGAGTATGACCGCAGCCCTTCACCGATGCGAATGCGAAGCGCTCTATGCACTACGCCGTCAGCCGCACGGAAATATTTTTTCGTCACAGCGGTCCGCTTACGTTATGTGGGCCGGGGAGGCCTGTCCGAGGGCGAGTGAGTTTCGAAATGCGCAAGCAGAGGTTACCGGCGGCGAGGGCCGGGGCGCACTCCAGTCGCACCACGCCCCGCACTCGTCACGTCACTCTGGTCACTCGGGGTGCTGCTCGGGGCGCATCCGTTCCGTCCGCTCCATTCCATTGCCACTTCCTCCGGAGGCTCATACTGTGCAAGTTTGTGTCCGTCATTGTTTGTGCGGCAGGGGTTTTAAGAAGTTCCGGGCGCCCGGCTTGAAGCGACTATGGCGGGTGGGGGGTTTTGTAGGGTTGCCTACCGTCACCTCGTCAGCGTAGCAACATTATTGCGGTAGTAAGTGGTTTTCGTGTTTTAGACAGTCCCGAAGACTGTCTGTACCAGAAGGCAAAGCCCCCCCCCCCCCGACCTCCTCCACTCCTCCGGATCGATCTCGACTAGAGCCGACTGCAGGCTGCAGCACCTATTTGAGCTGTACGAATAATTAAGGGGTGCGTTGTGGCCTGACTGATCCAGAGTACGGACTATTTCTTAGCCCTGTAGGCTAATTTTTTTATGACTCTCATAGCGCCAACTGTCTGCTGTTGCACCATGGGTTTATCTTACCAATAATCAGCTAAACAAGCTCTGCGAATTTTACATCCCCAACATTATATCCTTAAATTAAGAACACACTTATTTAGAGTGTATCTGAGCTTTGCTGTCGACCTTGCGGTGTTAGCTTGAATTTTTAGAAATCTGCGCCAAATCGTGTGCAAATGATTTGGTGCCTAACTGCCAACCAAGAGGTAAAAAGACCACGGTTCTCAGAACATCCGCTGGGATCTTTCCACACCCCCGATGTGGCCTATATAGGTTGGTCCTCAGACCCCTTCTTTTATTTTGCTTACTGTGTACCGTACCGCATGCAATCGTGAGGGCGGGTTGCATTGGTTGCATACTCATACGGATTCATAAGGTGCCGTGGAAGGGGTCTATGAACAACTCTGTATGTGTCTTATTTGTCTATTCGGCTAGACAAGTCAAAATATTGCTCTATGTACCCGCTGAACTACTGGATGCACAAGACGCTTATCTATATTTTTTTCAAATTCATAAATTGTGAGCGAGGCACCGTGGTAAAAGCAAAGAGTTACGAGGATTCATTGTTTTAAATTTTAAATGTAGGGAATACTCACTTTGTAAAATTGTATGTATAATTAGTAAAAATTCTGATTTTGAATGCATATATTTTTCGGTTTGTCGAGCAAATAAGTTGGAAAATGGAATACTGAGCACACAAAAATGGAGCTTGTGGTGGAGCCTTTATTGTATTTTTATTCTCAATGCAAATACATCAATCTTATTCACCGGGATAATCACACAACGCACTTGGAACACGGTACCACTCGAGTTCTTGCAACATTATTCTCTCCTCTAACATATCATGTTGATGACCATACAATAATTATAAATAGTGCGGCCGTTGTCCCACTGTCCCGCCCGCCTGCACGCACAGTGGCGGGGCGCCCTGTGGCATTAACAGTTTATCGGCCCTTATCGGTCAGGTGTAACAGCAAGAGACAAACATCCGAGGGGCAGCGGGATAGGGTGCGGGTGAGCTGTGCACTTGCTATCTCACACGGGGACGGGGCCCGGCCCGGAGCCGCCCGGAGCAGCCCGGAGCCGTGGGAGAAGGCCCCGTGGCGCCAGTGGGTTGAGTGCCACGCGGCAGTGGACGGAGGGGACCGCGATCGTATCCAGGGGTGCCATTCCATTCCACCGAATCAGCTTCAAAGTCCCCAGAATGGCGGCTGGATAGGGGGTGCCGAAGTGTTTTGCCGCGGCTCCGCGGGCAGCAGCTTCACCTCGTGTTCTCGGTGCTCTTCGAGAGGCCGCGGTCCCGGCGCCGTGCATCTCGGCTGGCGCGCGCGAGGCGCTGCCTCGCGGAGGGTTGTGAGGCCGCGGACGCGGGGGCGAGCGTCGTCGGTCCGGGGGGCGCGTACGCAACCGCCCTAGCTCTGAGCGGGGGCTGCCCGTACACCTCGGAGCGGGGAGCGTACTCGATCGCGTGTGACCTCGGCGGTGGTGGTGGAGACGGCGTGGAAGTGCCTGGTAGCCCGTACACCTCCGCGCCGGTCGGGGGCGGGGGCGGGGCCGCAGTCGAGGGTGGGCCGTACGCCTCCTTCCCGACCAGGCGCTCCACCAGCTGCAGGTACGGGATCATCTTGACCTTCGCGTCCCCACCGCCGAGGGAGTAGTAAGTGACGATGGTGTTTGGAGAGGGTGGCCTGATGTGCCCGTACGAAGGCGGGGCGGTCGCTGTCGGGGCCGGGGTCGGGGCCGTGGCCGGGGCCGGGGCTGAGGACGGGATGGGGTTCACCTCCTGCTGACGGTCGCTGGGTGCTGCAAGGTCGCCGTCGGTGGGGCGGTCGGCGCCGGCGGGCAGTGGTGGCACGTTCGAGGAGAAGGGCAGCGTAAGTCCCTCGGCGCGCACGCGGACACCCTCCGCCGTCACCAGGGAGATGTGTTGGTGCTGCGGCACGGCGTGCGAAGACAGCTCCGTCGTCCTGGCCACGAGCGTCCCCCGCCGGCTCGTGCGGGACTCCGTCGACGACGGCACACCCGCCGGCACGCCGTAGCGCTCGAATCCGTCAGCAGCCCCGGTAGCCAAGGCGTCACCAGAGCTGGGCAGGCGCGTCGCTCCCTCAATGTCGCGGTCGTTGACGAAGACGACAACAGGGGGAGGCGGTGGAGGTAGCTGGTGAGGCTGAGCCTCCCCCACGGCTGTCGGTGGACCCGCCCGCTGCTCGGATGCTGCTGCGGCGAAGGTCAAGCATACCGACAGGGAGGCGCAGAGGACTCGCAGGAAAGCCATCTGGAACGAAAACGTTGAGATTCAGCATCAACAGCCCTCTGAACACCTCCGTCTCTGTTCGACTAACTGTCCGTAATCGACGCGACGCACCGCGCTGCGCATCGAGATATCGATTCAAAGATCGTACTTCGCGGTCGCGCGGTCAGGTCGCATCAAACCTGTCTGTTCTGCAGAAGATTTCGGTTTTTGATGGCAACGCGTGACATAGCGGAACCATCCCAGCACCGACTCGCGTCGGATTACCGCGGGCTAAGGCAGACTGTGGGAAGAGAAACCTGTGCGTTGCTATTTCATGTTATAGGTGCGCTTGTGGTGGGTGTTAATACCAGCCTAGACTGGGGTGGAGCTGGCTGTACTAGAGCGCGCTCCTTTCCCTAGTTACGTCCTGCCGTACTCGAAACGGCGCGTTGCGTTCACAACACACAATTTATTCAGACAAGTGCTCTCACGCAGTTACGATAGCAGCAAGGGTCGGAGGGTGCGGTCCGGTTTTGGCCCAGAGGCAGTTGGGCGCGACCCGCCGGCCTTGGGACTGGACTACACGCTCAACGACAAGGGGAGGCGGCTATTTTCAGCCCGAGCTGTTCGATGGCGCTCACGATAACATTGCGTTGTTGGTTTACCATGTAAGCGGTAAGTAAATGGCGCGAGTTAAAATTACATAACTGTCATTAAACAGAAGTTTTTGCCATTTAAAAAGTACACCATTGTCACGAAGATTCAAATATGCACACTTTTTTTTCTGGTTTTGACGGTGGTCATTTTAATTCCGCTACATCGGGAGGAGCAAAAACTCCGGTACGAAAGTATGTGGCCCTCACACTAGTCTCTTTCCACCCTGCCTATAATAATCCACGTGTCTTGCAAAACTCATTGTACACGACAGCATTCGTCAATGCTAGAGTTCCATCGTTGAGCTTCCTCGTGCACTGGACTCCCGCCGGGAGTCACTGGCCTGTCACTCTCCGCCTACCTTTCACTTGAAGCGCTGCTCCGGCGAGTGGGTCCGCTCGTCTTGGGGCGGTGGGGCTGTGTGTGCAGGCCTCTCCGGCCCGCAGCCTGGCCAGGCCCATCGCGGGCCCGCGCCATGAGACATCGACACGACACCTCATTTAGTGGGGCCATCTCGGTGCAGCGGCCGCGACAGCCCGCGGCATTCCCTCCGCTGTTAGCCGTCTCTGTCGCTCCAGTGGCACCCCGGCTCTGAGGCGGTCGTCGAGTACGTTGGGCTGCCTATGCGACGGGCGCTCGCCGCCGAGTGAAAGAGAAGGGGCAGTTTTTCTAATAAGACAGTTTTCTTAGAAGCCCGAGCGCTGCTAATAGGTATGATAGACTGTCGAATTAAACGACTGCGTTGTTTCAGAATTCTTGATTTGCTCTCTCGTTGACAGCATTTCAAAAACTGATAACTGGCAGGAAAATTTTCGAAATTAGAACTCGTAAATTAGATGGTATTTGTACAAATAATTTAATCTTAAACTCACAAATTACAATTTACTGTAGTTGATTCAAACTAACATTAACTATTGCTAAAATAAATTATTCGATGAAATATAGCTAGTGGCATCTTTCAAACGGACCTATCCGCTAACATGGTATGAAAAACAACTACCTCCATGGTCCGTGCATCTGTTTCAACTTTGGTGTCTTATCTTAAGTTACGTCCAGCTATACCCTGAGGGCATTTTCCTAAGAGAACTGACAACATGTATTACTACTAATTAATACTAAGAGGAAGGAACGTGACCTTGGTGCGTCATATGCGAGGGACAAACATAGCTGCGAGTCTGGGGAAGAATCACGATGGACTAGCAAGCAGAGTCTGAAAGTTAGGAGAGACGGTCAATGGACGCTCGGTCAAAAGACGCCCCCGTGGGGTTTGTGCCCTATCCCTGGCGCAGGGGAGCAGTGACCGCCGCCGTCCGGACAGGGACCCTCTGGACCCTCTGGACAAAGCGCGGGGCGACGGGGGCGACGGGGGCGGGCGCTACGGGGGCTACGGGGGCGGCGGGGGCGGTGGGGGCAGCGGGGGCCACTGGCCGGCGGAGGAAGTCGGAGGGCCTGTCCGGGCGTGGAAGGTCCAGCTGCACTGGTGAACCCCTGAGAACATCTCGGTAGCCGCCGGGGATGGGGCCGACGATCTGCGGCGCGCCGGCCGACTGGAGCGCCCCCACCGACCCGGCGATCATGGGCAAAAAGCCGCCCTCCAGCTGCACGGGCGCGCGGAAGGCGCTGCGGTCCCGCCTGTCGAGGCTGAACAGCCCGCTGGCCAGGGCGGGGTCGTCCTCGGGCAGCAGGCCGCCGAGCAGAGCCAGCCGGCTGGGCCCGCGGCCCGCCCTGCTGGGCCGGAGCACCGGGTCCCGCGGGGAGGGCTGGAAGCCGAGCAGGCCCTGCTGGAGGCCCTCGGCGACCCCGGGGAGCTGCTCCGCGGGACCCTGGAGGACAGCGCTGCCGGCGGTCAGCGCGGCGGCCACGGGTGCGGGCGCTGGAGCCGACGCAAAGGCCGGTGCGGAGCCCTCCGCGCCGATGTCGGTCGGCGAGTCGGTGGACCCGACCAAGTCCAGCTCCGTCTGCGGCGTCGATGAAGCAGTGGAGCTGCAAAAGGAAAAGAGGATAGTAATGGGGGTCTCATGAAGGCAAACTACACGAGAACCTAATAATTACGAGACTGGGCGTCAATCTGCTCTCGTCACGTCACACTGGATCCCACCCAACGGAGCGCGCTGAAGCCGCGCTGCCAGGACCAGGGTAGGCAGCACTTGACTTTATCTTACCTCGGGTAGCTGGTGGTGATCGACAATGCTTCTGTGGTCCCGATCCCGACAGGGTCCTCCGAGGTCGGCGCATTCCGGTCCTCATCAGCGGCAAACGTCGTAGTGACCTCCACGTTGGCCTCCGTTGTCGTGGCCGGCGCGTCTGTGACAATCTCGTGATCGTCCACAACGGTGGTGGTCATCACATCGGTCGGGGAGGTGGTTGTCGGTGCGGCCGTCGTAGTCGTGGTAGTGCTGGTAGTCGTGGTAGTGGCAGTAGCCTCCCCAACCCTCAGCTTGCCAGTCGGCCCGCCGGTCCTCTTCTTGAACAACGTCTGGTAAGGTATCTTGTTGTCATTGACGGCCTGCTCCTTGTCCTCGGCGGGTGCGGGGGGCTTTCGGAAGGCGGGTGGCCGCCGGTATTTCCTCCGCATGGGGCCGGTCGTGACGGTGACCGGCGTTGCTGGTGTGCTCGTGGAGGACTCGAACGTGCGTGCGCTGCCCTCGGCGCGGTGCTCGGCGGGCAGGTGCAGGCTGTCCATGTGTCGACGCAGGTCAGCGTGCCGCTCGGCCAGCTCCCTCTGGAGAGCCACTAGGTTGGCCACGAGCATGCTCTGCAACGAACTTAGCCTGGCCATGCGATTCGTGGGCGCAAGGTCGACCTGTCCCGACTGCAGCGCCTCGATCTTCTTGATGGTGGCCACATCCTCGCCGCTCAAGGCCTGCGTAGGCCCTGCGGCCGTCGAGGGCTTGGTGGTCGTGTCCACGGCTTCAAGCGTCCCCGCAGAGGGCAGCACGGGTCGCGCGCCCGGCAGGCGTTCGCGCAGCGCCATCATGAAGGGTCCCAGGATGGTGTGCGAGGCGCCAGGACGGGCTGTGGGCTGTGGGTGCACCCGCTGGGCGCTCGTGGCGGACTCCTGAGGACGGCTCTGGGGACGAAAATGGGGTCGGGTGCGGATTCGTAGGGTAGTAGGCTGCGACGTGGTCGTCGTCAGTATGTCCATCTGCTGTTGCCTGTTGCGAAGAGGTCGTCGACGAACGTGGGTCCTCTTATGTTCGACAGGATGCACGCCCGCGGCCGCCGTTGAAGTGGCGGGGTCGACCTGCGCGGTGGGGGGTATGGCAGCAGGGGCGTTGGCAGACTGGCTATCGTGCTCCGCTGGTCCTGCTGGACCGCCTGCTTGGTACGGCCGACCACGTCGTGCGTGGCCGCGGGATACTGGTACAGCTGGAACGAGGACGGCCGGCGCGGGGGTGATCGGAACGAGGGTGGACGTCTCGGGGGTGATTGAGATGGCATCCGGCAGGGTCTCCGGCATCATCTCCGGCAGGGTCGCTGACTCGGCAGCTGTCGGCAGAGTGTCGTTGATCGCCTGCAATTGCGCGAAACGAATTACTCCAGTGTCGTTAGAGTACAAGTGAACACCCGTCTGAAAGGCGCGACATGCTGCGGAGGCCTCACCTTGGCCGCGAGCGGCGGCACCACGATGAGCATGGGCTGCATCCCGGTAGGCGGCAGCGACGGGAAGTGCGGCGGCGGCCGCGCGGCGTGCATGCGGGCGGGGATGTACACCGGGGCGGGGGCGCGCCGTCGGGCCGCGGCCCAGGGCGCCTCGTTGACCGCGTGCCGCACCTCGCTCGCGCCCGTGTCTAGATCGCCGTCGTCGTCGCCGGTCCTGAACATACGTCAGTATTAGCCTCTCTCATTTTTCAGGACGCGTATTTTTCGAGTCTGTATTCCAAAAGCCAAAGCATGTTCTCTTACCTTCGTGTCGCCACCGAGGCGTTTTCCTTTCGAAAGAAGGAGACGGGTGGAGGACGGCTGCTGGCGTACTTGTTGGCGTACTTCTTGTAGATGTCCTGACGGTACGCACCAGGCTCCTGCTTCCAACGGTGGAAGGCGGGGATGGGCGTGGGCACGGCAACGGTCGTCGTGCTGGTGGGAACCGGGGTGGTGGAAGTTGTGGTCACAGGGGCCGGCGTGGTGCTTGGGGTGGTTGTGGAGGTAGAGGGGCTCGTGGTCGTTGCGGCTGTGGTGGGTTCCGATGTAGTGGGAGTCGCAACAGTGGACGTCGCCTTGCTGGGGACAATGGTGATGTCGTTGGCTGTGAGGTGGCTCGGGGCACTCTCCCGGGTCTCCTTCCTCTCGGAAGCCAACTCCAGCTTGTCGTCGCTGTCGTCGACTCCCGGGGCCTCGTCGACGACGGACACTGACGGGACAGAAGTTGACGTTGTCGTGGCTTCAGTTGCCGACGGGGCCGCGGTGGACGCGTTTGCTTGGGGGAAGACCAACACCACCTCCAGCTCCCTGGGCCGGGTCTGGTTGCCCTCCGACACGCGCGGGAACACGAAGACGACGTTCAAGGGCTTGTCGCGGCCCGTGATGTTGTAGCCTGGGGGTCAGAACAACACGAACATTTGTTTGAGACCATGTCAAGAGTTTCTTTACGTTAGTGTTACATTGTTTGTATTTTCGCAAAAGGTGAGACCAATTGAGCCGTACCTGGGTAGTCTCTAACCGGGAGCTTGGCCATCATGCGCTCGTATTTCTTCTTCTCGATATCTTGTTCGGGTGGCGCGACCGTGACGAAACGGTGCTGCTTGCCGGCCAGGCTGTTGGTGTCCGAGGGAGAGAAGTCTCGCCGCGACTTCTTGTGGTTGAGAGGCAGAGGGTCCGACAACGACAACACGTCTTCCTGTAAAAGGGTCCCCTGGCGATTGAGTTAATTCAAAAGGTCACCTGAAGAATCGTTCAGAAAGTACGTTCGTTTTATCAGACTCGGCTCATACGGACTCCCCTGCGATACTCGAGGTAGGCCAGCCCTCAGTGCACGCATGCATTGCAGGCAAGATGTTGCCTACCCATCAGGCGTTATGAGGGTTGGGCAGTTTCCGAACTGCGAATAAAGGACGTACTTTCTGGATGGTCCCCGATTGATTGGGCGTGTAAGAGGAATCTGACCTACCTGATCCTGGTGCTGCGGCACGGGCGCGACGGGTGCTGCCGAGCGCTCCGCCATGACCATGTCCGAGCCCTGCTCGATCTCCTGCATGTCCTCCATGAAGTCCTCCTCTGCGTCACCGTCGAGCGAGGGGAGTGTGGAGGGCGGCGGCAGCCTGGTGTTGGGGTCGAGCGGGACGACCACGGCCCCGGGGACGAGCAGCCTCCTGGCCCTGGTGTCCTGCTGCCCGGCGGCTGCCCCGTCCGCAGCGCCGTTCAGCTTCGCCACTATCATCAGCTCGTCCACGGGCACTCCCGAGGCGTTGGGCTTCGTTACCACCGGCACGACGGTGGTCATCGGGACGTCGGGGATGATTGTTGTCGCCTCCGTCACGGCGGCGAGGTCGACATCGGTGACGAAGGTGGTGGTGGCAGTGTCGTCGGAGTGCTGCGCCAGGCCTGCCGCCACGGCGAGCAGCACCAGCGGCCACGCGCTCGCCCACATCCTGGAGCGAGAGGAGGAGGGAGGGGTTACAAGAGCAGAGCAGGCGCTACTCGGGCTGCAACCAGCGCGGAGCGCCGCATTCCCCGCCGCGGCCGCCGCTCACCGGCAGCCGGTGCGACGGCCACATGCCACGCGAGTGGAGGCGGCGCGCGCTAAAGCCAAAATGGAGACGACAGGTTTCGGTGGCCAGTCACTCGTGTGTTCTGCCATCGATACCTCCGCTGAGGTGCGGCGGCGGCGGTGGCACGGTGGCCGGGCGCCATGAGGCACGCCGTGAGGTGAAGCAAGGTGGGCGCGCGCGGTGCTGCAAGTCCAGCCGGCCAGACGTCACCCCGCCCCACCTCTCCCCCGTTCACTCTACCCCGTCGCACCCCGCCGTTTCCCTGCCTGGCTGGAGGCCATGCAAACCAACGACCTTGCTCTTCGTCTGATGCCTCACTCCACCGCTGCCAAACCTCGCCTCGGAGTGGGCGGGTCGGCCGGGTCCTGGAGGAGGGAACAGCTCCAGGCGACCGCGCCTCCGGGCTGCCGCCTTCGTCCTGCGCCTGCCGGCGAACGGAGGTCTACGTATTGAAAAGCTGCTCTCAAGTTGGTCTCAGGGCATTCTCGGTGTCATTCCCTTGACTCACGACAAATCGTCTCGTTTGAGTCTCGTGCTACACTCTCAGGAGTCAACCTCGAGTGCGACTGCAGCCCAGATGTTCTGGCAGCACTATGACAGCAAATAGTACTAAGTCACCACCGTTGCACAAGTAGTGATCGGGTGGGCCCTGACACTACCCACGGTTTTGATCCGGGGCAGGAATGGGGACGAGAGGGGGGGGCTTTCGTTTTGGGCATCGAGTAACATAATCTTGCGTCTAATACTCTCCGCGAGTTTTTCACTATTGTGTCACCTCGAACGTTCCACTTCTGAAAACAGCCTTGGCCAACATTATGTATGGCAAAAAGTGGTCATCCCCCGTTATGGAAACTTGATTCCCTGCGTATCTCATCGATGGCAAAAGAGACAATCCAAATTTTTGATTTGACTGCATGGCCTTGTTTCCATCACACATTCACAATTCGGTCAAGAGCTATTTGTGAACCAGAGTGTAAGTATCTAGTTACATTCCATCGATGAGCAGTAAATTTCAAGAATGGTTGTTTCTGGAAAGTATCTGGCTCATTCAGCAGAACTTACAACAATTCAATTTTGCCCCAAACTCAAATTTGCAGAAACTCACCTGAACGTATCTGTATTTAATCCACTCTGAGAAGCACGTAGCGCTTAGCTTGTAATCACACTGTGGTCACATTCACTGCTCAACTGTCTTAGTCAAAGCCTCGGGTGACCGCGACAACTCCTCATCGTGCTGGACAAGACACCGGCGCGCTCGCCTCCTGGAGTAAGAATGGCCCGTCGCACCTGGCACGCTCGCGCCACGCACGCCTATTGCGCCTCACCCTGCCCCGCCCCGCCCTGCCCCTCTCTCAGCGGTCATCGCAGAGGTGTTCAGTGTGTCCACCGCTTGCAGCACCGGGCCGCCGCCGGGGCCGGGCTGGGCACTGCACCCACAGCAAGGGTAGGTAGCGCACGAAAGACCCTCTCCACCCCCACCCCCCTCTCTCTCCCTCTTTCACACACACTCACAAACACGCTGCTTTCTCTGGTGCAACGACGACAACCCTCCATAAAGTGAAAACAAATGATGCATGCATGCCTAGCCAGACCGGTGCCTGACAGCGCCGTATTGGCTGCACCGCGTCCGCCCTCTCTCCAGCCGCCCCCACCCCCTGAGATTGTGGCATGCCCAAGTTTCCTCGACGGTGTGATCTGTAGGGTTTTAACTGGTTTTAACAACGCACAGCTGCATGCGTCAGAGCTTCGGTGATCAGATCGAACACCCGAGTGTTGCGGGTTTGCCTACTCCATCCGCCCGTAAGGCGCTATGCCCTGCATGCCTCCCGAGATGTGCAAACCGGAACACTGGGGTTTAACCAGGTACTTTTGCCTGTTCTGTACGGCCATGTAAGGGGTGGGTAGATCGGGTAAAAGTGCGAGCCATGCTTTTTGCCTTGGTTAAGGTCGCCTTTTGTGGGCTCAAAATATCATCAGTTTTGTATCAGTACACATGAATGAATATAAATGCGAAAGGGAACCGTGTTCAAAACCCAAAACCTTTTATAACTTTCTTCTTAGGCTTCTTAGGCGAGGTCCCAATTTACGGCTGAGAATAAAAGGCTTAACATTTTCCTGATACATTTTAAAAATCGCGCGCATTTCACTGCCAGCCCCGGAATAAAATACGTCATCAATAATTTGGAGAGTTAAGATTGTATACGTCTCTATCCAAGAAATGAGGATTTTAATACTCTCATTTTGGTTTGCTAGCAGTTATACGAACAGTTTTGAAGCCAGGGGTTCAAATAATCTCTCTTGAAAACACTTTTTCTTACCGCCAGCGCGATTTGTCATATCCATATGAGCCGCCATGTCGTTCTTCAATCGCAAGACGTCTTTATTTGTTTGCAGGGTTAGCTCGGAAACGGACAGCTGCGTCTAAGCAATTTGTCAGTTTCTTGCATTTTTCCCAAATGTTTGACAATTTTTGAAGCAACAAGCAAGCGATTACAGTCCATTCTGAAGTTGAATCGTTTCATGTTTTCAACCGCACTGTAAAAGTTCGCCAAAATGGACAATTTGGCAATGGGTCTGTCGTCCGAGCAGACGGACAAGATTCTGCAGCTTCAGGTAATCATATTGAAGTAGTTTGTGCTGTATTCTAAGTCTTTTGGTTTCGTGCAGAGTTTCAAATGTTTTAATTTCTTCTTCTGACGCGAGAGCTCATTTTGTATGGGGGTACAACTACTCAATCGTTGTTGACTAGTCAAAAAAATTAAGGCTATCTTATGAAGTGCAAATTTTAGTTATTCTAAAGCTGACATATTTTTTTTTTAATTTGATTCTAATTGCTCTTCTTACAGTCATTTTTTTGTACTTTTTTCTTCCTAATAAAGTTATTTTTATTTTGAATAGGATCTCACTGGAATTGAAGATGTGACAATCTGTCGGGACGTTCTAACTCGACATAATTGGGACCTCGAAGGTGCAGTGCTGGATCAACTAAATATCAGAGATGGACATCCATCTGTCTTTGCCAGCTCTGAAACCCATGCACCAACTGTAGTCAATGAGCCTATGTTTCAACATATGTTTTTCTCTCCACCCTCGGGTGGTTACTGGTTTACAAGATTGTATCAATTTGGTTATAACCTGATTGCACCAATATTTATATTTGCCTATAGACTATTATTTAGAGGCGATCATAGAAGATGTAAGCTTAAATTTCTCTTTAACACTACTGTTTTTTTCTATGGCAACTGCCTTTCTAAGGTGTTATGTTTATTTCCTTCAGATGTGACTGATCCTGTAGCTGATGTCATGAATTTCATCAGGTCCTATGAAGAAAACTATGGAAACCAACATCCCGTATTTTATCAGGGTTCCTACCATCAGGCTCTCAATGATGCTAAACATGAACTACGTTTCCTCATTGTTTATTTACATTCAGATGACCACCAGGACAATATAGACTTCTGTCGGTGTGTATCTCTTTTATTTTTATTAATTTGATAATGTTTTAGCAAAGTGTTAAAACCAGTTCTCTTGTTTAGGCAAGTTTTGAAGGATGAGTCTGTGATCCAATACATAAATACCCACATGCTCTTTTGGGGCTGCAATGTAAATTCAACAGAAGGCTATAAAGTTTCACAACACCTCCGCGAAAATGCATATCCATTCTTAGCTGTTCTTGCTATGCGTGAGTCACGAATGACTGTTGTTGGAAGGTAATAGATAACTGTTTCACCTTTCCTGTTTACAAACATATGAATAAATCTAATAGTTTTACTCTTGATTTTTAGGATGGAAGGACCAATGAACTTTCAGACCCTCCTGCAGCGTTTGCAAACTATTGTCGCTGACAATGAGAATTGTCTTGTTGCAGCTAGAAATGATAGGTCAGCAAATTAAAATTTTGTTTTCTATGTGCTATTGAGTATGCATTACATTGGTGCTTATAGAGAACTGTCTCATATTTTCAGGATGGAAAGAAGCCTTAATCAAACTCTTAGAGCTCAGCAGGATCAAGCTTATGAAGATTCCCTTCAAGCAGACAGAGAGAAGGAGAGATTACGAAGGCTGGAAAAAGAGAAAAAAGAAGCAGCGGAACGTGAAAGAAGGGAGAGTGAACGCCAAGAGCAATTAGAACGAGAGGTAAGTACTGGGCCAGTTACAAAAACAAAAGAAACACCGACCCGCAATACTTTTCTTTTTTAATGTAGCTAATGCCTTTTTCTCTTACTTTTAAGGAAATACAACGCCAAAAAGTAGAATTAGCATGTAAGGTACCTGCTGAACCTAGCTCAGATCATCCAGAATCAGTTCATGTAGTGATAAAATTACCCACCGGCAAGCGCCTTGAGCGCCGATTTTTACAGTCTCACCCGTTGGAAGTAAGTTACAAAATAAACTGTTTATCCCCTGTTTTTATAATTTTTGTGTTTGGCTGATGCTTATAATTCAATCTCAAATGTTCTTTCCAGGCTATTTTTCTCTTTGTTTTCTGTCATCCTGAAGCACCTGATCGATTTGAAATTGCTACAAATTTTCCCAAGAGAGTTCTGCAATGTGAAAATAACACTCAAGATACTTTAGCTGATGTAGGATTAAGAAGAGGAGAAGTCTTGTTTGTTTATGATTTGGAGGCATAGGCTCTGCAAGTTTTTCTTAGCAACTCCTCCAAGCTGTCTTCTTATCCAAATTGGGACAGCATTGATATGTAACCAGATTATATGTTTATGATGTCACAGGGTTTTTAGGCCTCTACACATCCATTACCGTACATCATTAGCCAAATCAGTTTGGGCTGGCAGATGCACAAAAGTTAAAATTGTCTGTTATTTTCTGGTAAAACTTGCTACTGTCGTGGCTGAATCAATTTCCATCAATGAATCTGGTCTGATTATTATTACTAATTCTATCAAAGTCTAAACTTTGTGTACGCAACTCAAAATGAACTTTGGAAGGGAAGGGGTGACAGTTGTGATTTTCAATAGTATACAACATTATACTTTTTGAAATTTATATCTACCCGAGTCCAGAGTCCAGAATGAAATTGTGCCTTTCCCTGCACTGTCCTGTGAAACTATAGACATGGTTTTTATGCATTCACAAATTGTTGTGGCCTGTCTTATCAGAAGGTGTGCTATTTCATCTTGTTTTATTTTACGTGTTGAGTGCCGTATTGCTCCCCAAAAATGACCTGTCTACTGGCACTCACATAATTCTAGAATTTTATTTTCCAATTTCTTTATTCTGTGTTACTTAAATTATTAATTTCCTTTTTGTGGGTTGAATATATTTTGCTCCAAAACAATATCACTGCAGCAAAGTGCATTGAGATTTCCCATGAATTTAACCACATTTCTTGATCAATTTTCTTATCAATTAAAAAAAATAATTCCTTCTTTGTTCTTGTTTCTTGTAATTGGAAGAGTCTTGGTTCACACTATTTGCTGAAGTAAGATAAGATGGGAGAGTCAGCAGTGTCACTTTGTATAGAATTGCTTACTGATCTATTTGTATTTAAAATTAATTTTCAATCTGTTTCTTATATTCACCTGACCTGTATTTGCATAATATTGCATTTTTGTAAAACTCATTAGAGTTGAGAAATGGCCCACGCACCCAAAAATTATGTGATTTACTAAGGTTGTTAAAACCTTTTCTCGGTTGGATTTTAAAGTGTTAACCATTTGTGGTTATTTATTGTACCAGTTTGCTCTTGTAAGCAAGATGCATTTACATACCCAATTTTCATTATTATTTCCAGCCTGGATTTATCAATCAACATTGCATTTTCTTTACTATTTGTTTATGTGTATGTGTGTGTGTCTGGTTGGGCCAAAGTGACCATGAACAGTGTATACATTACTTGGAAATTTTCTCTCGACAGGGCTCATGTATGCGTCTGATTCAGTGAAGTGGTAAACTTTTGCAGTACTTGATTTCAACTTAATGCCACTAAATTTGTCAAAACCACAATCAATTTTGTTACTTGCATGGTTTTTAGATATTTTCTTACTCATTGTGCCTGATGACAAAAATGTGCAGATCTCATAGTTTTGGGGACAGCTACATTACGGCAAGGCCGTTGAAGAAGAATCCTTTGATATAATTAATAGTGTTACTTATTCACATCCATACATTTCCAGGGCAGCAGCCAGGATGTATATTAGTAAAAATATTTTAAAAATATTTCAGGCATGTCACTTTACTTAAATTGTGTTTGGCCAATTGGATTGTATATGTTAAAAGAAATAAGACTAAGGCATAGCACATGCATTTCTGTGATGCCAAATTTATTTGTGACTTGTAAGGGACTTAAATGTCGACAAATAGCATTTTCCCTCCAAGCTGTTTACATGTTTTGTTATGTATAGTCCAAGACTGACTGCCTGTGTGATTTCAAACAGTCTTATCTCCTTCATCTTTAGTAACGTAATAATCTGTGTTTTTCTGGCACAATATTTTCATTTCTCATTCTGTATTAATTATATTTGTCTGAATTCCTGTTAGTCCTCTGGATATTATGGGATTGATGTTTTATGTGATATGGAAGCATATAGTTATTTTTCTTCCATAATAAACCTGCAAAGGTTCTTGTTCTGCATGTCAAACTTCACAATCCTTGTTAAGATAAGTCGTCGTGCATCTGAATAAAATGGTCCAATATTTCTATTACAGTAAAACTGATATAACTGTTTGAAGTCTCAATGAACTTTTAATCTGTAGATAAAACAACAAAAACAAAACAAATTCCTTGGGCAGAAACATTGAAAGTGTAAATACACTTTAACAGTACTTTTAGAGCCCAGCACTAACAATTACTTGAAAAGTAAAATGAGATTTTCTTACAACCTAGATATGTGAAAGGATAGCAAAAATCTCAAGGTCGGAAACAGGAAGAACTCACAATTATTTTTTTTCAGAAATCAACAATTGAAGGATGTGCGACTTTCTAGCATCTGAAATCTTCCTGCTAACCCCCACACCATGAAAATTCTTTGCAAGATTAAGGTTTATGTCAAAAATACCTTGCTGAGATCAAACAATCTCTTACATGCAATTAGAGGATAGTGACTCAAAATCAGTCTTAAAATACCCTGTCAGCTTATTAACATAGTTGTCAAAGGCACAACATTTAACTGAAAACCTGGGTTTTGTTATTCAGAGTTATCCAGCCTTGCATAAAAACGCCCACGCCCCATTCCTAAAACTTCTGGAAAGAAAAGAAAACATTAATAAAGCATGCTTCACAGAGCTTCATGGAAGCATGGGGTCAATCAAAAATTGCAGGAGGATTTTAAATAAATATTTAAAACCCTCCTGCAATTTCTGATTCACCCCATTATTAATAACTTAAAAAAGGAAAAAAAAAAACCTTTAATACTAATGATCACTTTAATGTCCGTCAACTTACTAGGCATTATAGGCTCCTCATCATCTCTGCTATTCTGACAGTGATAGATTGGGGCACCCAGGGCACCTCCTCGCCGAAACTCATTTCTGTTAATGTGCACAAAGTCAAAATCAAAATCAACGCAATTAAAACCCAAGTTTGGCAACTCATTTTAATTATACCCACCTATTGTCGGAAGGCTCAGGGCGATGAACATTTCTTGGCGCATATATCATGTCAATTGATGCTTGTTCATCTTCTTCATCCTCCCAATCACCGACGGGGACTGGCAGATGGAACTGAGGGTTCCCTAACTCTCCGTGAACTGTTGTGTCTGCGTAAACCAAGAAATCAATAAGATAGCAGATACATTCAGTAAAATAGTTGATGAATAAATTATTAGTTAGCAATTAGGGGAAAAGGCCAAGAAGAACAGAGAACTTTTCTATTATAGAGCCAAACTTTTCACACTCACTTTCATACTTCTTCGCTTCCATTAAATGTCTGTCACTACAAAACATGAAATGCATTTGTAGTTCCTGCTCAGGAATGACGTGTGTTGCATTGAAGGGGCAGGATTTAAATAATGCTGCTAGCTTGGGGTGGTTCTGGAAAGAAATAAAAAAACTGGGGGAAACTGTCAAAATATTTCATAACTCCTCCGTGTTTACTATACTTACTTTCCTACACTTCATTAGGTGGCGCTGAAGCCTTAGTTTAGGAACAGCGTGGCTTTTGTCATATGGACAAGACACATAGGGATTATTTATAGCAGCACTCATTTTTTTGAAAAAAACAATCACTTAAGTTAGTCCTTTTTAGAAAAGTTGGAGCTAGCCTACGATTCGACCAGACCTAACCTAACCTTTTCAAAGTTCTTTCTTCGTATTTTCATAGATGGCGCTGCTGGCGCTGGCAACAAAATCAGACAGCAGACAGCGGGAATTTCAGTTTTTCCGGTTTTTCGAACTGGTATTTCAAAAGTAGCTCAGAAACAAACAATAGTGGTCTGTTAGAATCATTATTTTATTGTGTCTCCAAAAAACAAAAAAATACAAATCAAACAAACCATCAGGGAAATTGTGTTACTATCACAATTTCAAAATTACAAGCATGTAAAACTTGCCACTGTTCTTCATACCGTTTGAAAATTTTCATTTCATTCTTTTGCGTCAAAAGCTTGTAGAAAGTAACAGGTATCATGAGATAAAATATCAATTGTGGGTCACCTGTACCCAACCCTCTGAACTAATGCTGTCTGGGAAAATGTTCCGGATACAGGTGGCCCACAATTGATTGGATGGCTCATATAATCACAAGTATTTCATTTCTCACCAATATGGTGGCAATATCAAGGGATGTTTCTTGTTGAATAAAGGTGTATATAGACAACAAATTTCATTTTCACACATTGTCAACTATAAAATTAACGAAGAACCAAAATTGAAAAGAAAATACCAAGAATCAACTTGTTCCAC